TTAAATAGAACTGACAAATACACTAGTCAACATGGCGGCCGACATCAATTTTAGACATCCACACGTCATCCCGGTTTCAAAAATGCCCACATTGTAGGGAAAAGTTGTTTCTAAAATCAACAGCCGCCATCTTGGATTCCCAAATAGCGGCAGATATTAATTTTCTACATCTGCAAGCTATCCCTGTTCCGAAAATACCCACAATGCAAAATTTCCAAATGGTGGCTATCAATTTTCGACAGTTTTTCTTAAATTGATGGCCACCATCTTGGATTTCATAATGGCGGCAAACATCGTTTTTCGATCTCTATACGTCATCCTCATTCCGAAAATTCACATATAATAGGGTATTTGATTAGCCTTGTCTTAAATTGGGAATTTTCAGTGACGAGAGCTGATGATGATGATCTGAGATTATCGCTATTTCATATGATCATGATCTGTTACACAAATGATAATCGCATTATCGTTTCCAGAACTGTCCATTGTGATTTATGTATTTGTACTAATCATGAGTGTAACCAAAATGAGAATTCCATTATCTTTATCTGAATCGTTCATTTTGATTCCCTGAATGGATGACGAGACATATGTGAAGGCGGACTTCAACCAGATTTACTGGTGATACCAAAGATGAATACTAAGATGAAACTGTCGGAAGAAAAACTTTCTATTTTAGTGTCCTCTTTCACGGTCCCTTTCATCCATTGAATACCCCTAGTATTCAAGGTAATTTTGTGGTTTTGATGACCCCTCGGTAGAGATGAAATTTTGCGCTCATTTTTATCAAAACAAACACATCAAAATCAGAGGTGTCCCATTTTTTAATTACTCGATTAACAACTAATCGATTTTTTTTGTTCGCTGTGCTGCCATCTTTCCACCAATGAGAGTGCAGCACATGTTTAAAACGATCGGTGATGATCCTCTGGAGAAGTTAATGCTTATATCGGCATGATATAACCGATTGCCAATATTTTACTTTTCGGTTCGTTAATCGATTAATCAATAATTCGAATGAAAATCGGCCATCACTAGATGAATGTGAAACGTCATTTCAAATATGTGGACCATACATAAATAATGATACAATTTGAAAGGGACCGGTGCTCATCACAAATTACGTCCACACGGTAACTGAAATAAACACGAGTGTTCACCGGTTGGTGGTACTCTAAGGAGGTACTAGAATGGTATGCTGCAAACAATGTTAATTTCGTCGCCAAAGAGATTAATCCTCCGAATTGCCCTGAGTTCAGACCGATCGAAAAATATTGGGTAATTGTCAAGCAAAAACTTCGAGGATGCGGTAAAGAAGTGACAAATGCACAACAAATGCGTTTAAAGTGCAATATGTTCGCCGGTACAGTGTCCCCAGCGATTGTGCAGATCATGATGGCTCGATCACAAGTAAAGTGCGACAGTTCGTTCGAAACGGTGAAATGTAATAACTTGTTATATATCGTTTGAAAGCTGAATAAATACCCTTTTGTTTGACGTTTTGTTCAACCATGTATGTTGTTTAATTCTTCAGTTATGATCACTTGAATGTGTCCAAATTTACTTTGCATTGTGCTTTAAACCAGCCCACTCAAAGCTCTCCAGAAAGGGATTCCGTTAAGAGGTTCGTCAAAATTTAAAGGATTAATTATTTGTCCATCTTTCCTTAGTATGTATATTAATATTAATTTTGTAATTTTTTAAATATATGCGCTTCTTTAAAAGGATACTTTATCCACTAGAAGCGCATACATTGTTTTGTTCGTAATAGTGTCTCCTTATTGTAGAACTGTAAATTAAAATATGCTCAGCCATTTTATATGTAGTGTCCCTTTGTATTTATTGTGTTGCCTATAGCTGAGTTGTTGAGTGTTCACTACCAGGGGGCTCAAAATGGAGCTTTTTGGTGTGGGGGAGAGCGGACGGTACTTAAAAAAAAAACAGACTGTCGCGCACGACAACGAAGCGAGTATAGTAGAAAAGGCGAATGATGTCGATTTCGTGCCGAAAGATCTGAACCCCCTAAACACTCCGGAACTGCTCCCAATAGAAAAATACTGGGCCATTATGAAGGAGCATCTTCTAAAATGACCTAAAGTGGTGAAGAATATAGATAAAAAGGAAGAAAGCATAGGTTAATATGCAAAAAACTGTCGATTCTGAGGTCGTGCAGAACCTTATGGCTGGGGTTAAGGCCAAGGATCGCGCATTCTGATATAAAGGCGAAATAAATTAAATGAATGATGCCAAATCTAACTTTAATTGTTCTTTTTACTCCCTGAAAGTTTGGTGATAATCTATAATAAAAACTCGAATTTTGAGAATGAATTTTGTGTATGCAGATTTTAAACGGTATACCCTTTATGTGTTTGGTACGGGAAGGTTCACCAGGGCACCCCATTGATGCGAAAAGGATGGGGAGAGTGAAAACGCCAACTCTCTGTCTTTAACATTTCGTGAATAGAGGGCGGGCTCTTCTCAACTACTGTTGAATGACCTGTTTTTTTACCGGTTGTATGAACCTATTGTTGGAAGGAAATTCTCATTTATACCGTGGATGCACGTGGGTGATCTTGCTACAGTAAGTAGTTCCATATCATCATAATGGGGGAAAATGAGGTACTTCGCGAGGTCTACACTATCCGATACATGCTCCAATCGAATTGTTGGACTTTTTTTACATAAGAAATTATGTGTGCTATGTCTGAAATCTAGTGGCAGTTTTCAAAACTGCTATAAATTCCCCATCAAAAACAAGTTTTGCGGCAACTTGGGCCAAATTTGCTACTTTTCGTGGTCTTTATCGTAGATTCGTTGGACTTTTCACAAAAAAACAATGATGTATTTTATGCCTGAAAACTCGGGGCAGTTTGCAAAACTGTTATTAATTACCCTTAAATTGGGAATTTTGGGGAAAATGAGCTACTTCCCGGGGTTCACACTATCCGTTACAAACTCCAATCGATTCGTTGAACTTTTTTAGATAGTAAATTATGCGTTATATGCCTGAAATCTAGCAGCAGTTTTCAAATCCATTAATAATTACCCTTAAATAATTATTTTTGGAGAAAATAGGACAAAAAGCCTTTTTAGTCTGTACAGTATGAGATTAGTTGTAATTGATTTTATTGGCTTTCTGCCATATCATCCACTGCATTTCATGGCTGTAGATAACCAGCAGTCGCATATGAAGCTAAATAACATATTATTTTAACAGAAAATTGGGAGAAACGGGCAAAATGAGACAATTTCGGTAGCCTATGCAAGACAAAACCAGCGGAAATCGATTCCCCGATTTATTACATAAGATCAAGTATCTCAAACCTCTTGAAAGCAGTGACTCGAAATAAAGGGTGATACGGTCAAAATTTGGTCAAGGGAAAACGCGTGTAAATCGGTGAAATCGTTTATTTAAAAAATCAAATTAAATTTCTTTTTCAAGTTCAATTAGTATAAAATTCAGGAAAAATATTCAGTTATGCTTCCGCTTTTCCAAATCCGAATTGCCGGGCCTTACGCTTGACCCCTGCCATCAGATTTTGTACAGCCACCTTGTCCACCTTCTTCGCCGCAGAAAGCCAGTTTGCCTTGAACTGCTGCTCGCCCTTAGCAGTTTTTTTGGTCTTCTTTAGGTTCCGCTTGACAATAGCCCAGTATTTCTCAATTGGGCGGAGCTCTGGCGTGTTGGGAGGGTTCTTGTCCTTGGGAACCACCTGCACGTTGTTGGCGGCGTACCACTCCATGGCCTTTTTACCGTAATGGCAAGATGCCAAATCCGGCCAAAACAGTACGGAACAACCGTGTTTCTTCAGGAAAGGCAGCAGACGTTTATTCAAACACTCTTTCACGTAAATTTCTTGGTTGACAGTCCCGGAAGCTATGAAAATGCTGCTTTTCAAGCCACAGGTACAGATGGCTTGCCAAACCAGATATTTCTTTGCGAACTTTGACAGTTTCATGTGCTTGAAAACATCTGCTACCTTTCCCCTTCCTTTTGCCGTATAAAACTCCTGTCCCGGAAGCTGCTTGTAGTCGGCTTTGACGTAGGTTTCGTCGTCCATTACCACGCAGTCAAACTTCGTCAGCATCGTCGTGTACAGCCTCCGGGATCGCGCTTTGGCCGTCGTATTTTGTTTATCATCGCGATTTGGAGTCACTACCTTCTTGTAAGTCGATAGTCCGGCTCGTTTTTTGGCTCGATGCACGGTTGTAGACGATACACCCAGCTTATTTCCGGCATCTCGGAGAGAGAGGTTAGGGTTTCGCTTGAAACTACCGGCAACTCTCTTTGTCGTCTCAGCGGCTTCCGGTTTTCGATTTCCCCCCGATCCAGACTTCCTGGCTGTCGACAAACGTTCCCCAAACACTTTAATTACATTTGTAACGGTTGATTTGGCAACTTTTAGCGATTTTGCCAACTTTGCGTGCGAGTAGCTCGGATTTTCGCGATGCGCGAGCAAAATTTTGATACGCTGCTCTTCTTGCTTGGACGGCATTTTGACAACTGAAGAGTGAATTCCAAAATCAAAATAGGAGCAACATTCTACACACACACACCTTCAAAATGAGGGGTGTTCAGGTTTTTTAAATGCAAAATTGAAAGAAATACGTCAAGTTGATATTGACCAAATTTTGACCGTATCACCCTTTAAGTGCGACAATTGATCAGGTTTTGCCCACTGTTCAATGATTTAAAATAGAGTCTCCTATGGGACTGTTAAAGGGTGAACACGAAATTAATTTTACACACAAAAACATCTTTTTTTTTAGCCACGATACGATGATTTTCATTTTTTGCGATTTATGAACCATTTCCATATAACAAAGACATTTGATCATTAACTAAAAAGTCCTTACCTTTCTGAGGTTGGTGCTGATGAACGACACTCAGATTTCTACCCGGTCCTAGATTCACCACCCCGAACTCAACCAGAAGAAAAATCAGGCTGTCATCAACGAACCGTGTCATCGGTCTGGAGAAAGAATCCTCAAAAAACACATTCTACCTTCCGAAATGAAAAACCAGGCGCGAACGAGTTGCTGCTAGTTTTGGTTTTTACTATATTTTTATTAACTTACTCTTCATTGTCATCGATTCACCTTGTCCTTCTTTGCGTGTTTCGTTCGTTTGTTTGCTCATTCCTTTGTTTTGTATGATTTTTTTTTTTAAGTTTTCATAATTTGTTTCTCTTCATCTCCCTCGTCTTCTTTACACTTTATACACATTTACAAAAGGGCAGCTATTTAATAAAAATAAATAAATATGGTAGTAATCAAATGCAGCCTGGAGGAGCACTGGTCGCATAAGTTCACAATCCACCATATCTGGAGACCTTTTTTGTTTTTGCTAACCCAGGCAGACACAATTTATCCATAGAATTAACTATTAGATAAGATGGGAAGTAGTCACAGGTGGAACGGAAATGTTCACGAAAATGAATAGCCATATTGACTGACAGCAAATTTGCTCCGACTCGGAAAGGAGATTCAATTCCAATTGTAGGAAAACGTTTTCCTAGTCGATTTTTTACGGGTGGAATCAACTACCTACGCTCCAGTGGAATGAGATATGACGCATAAAGACGTGATTTACGACTTTATGAAGCGCGCTGCTGGATCAAAATAGCGAAACGCGTGGGTGGGTGGTAATTGATTTGTTGTCTTTTTCCCTGCGCATAACTATTCCATATGGATGAAAAATGAAACAAAAATGGAACCGATGAGCAGTTATGCGTGGTTCAATCAGCAAAACTAAGCTCGGAGAAGGTAAATTTATCGGAATCTTCATACGTTTCCATGAAACGGTGGGGAAGTGCCAAAGCCGATGATCTCAGTTCTTCGGAAAAACTTCCAACAGTAAGATAACACACGATTACCAGTGTTACACACTGAACAAGGAAGGGAGCATGTGGATTCGCCTAATGGAGTGTGAAACAGGCGCCAGACAGATGTGTGGGAAGAGAACTACGTACCTTTGTAGGAAATAGCATTGAAGTTGAAGCTTTCGGAGTCGGAGCGGGAGGGATCATCCCAACAGACCGAATAATGGTGGCGGACAGCTTATCTGCCGGAGTAGCAATATCGGTTTTGCTTACGGGTTTTTTTTTTTGCTGATGGATACTAAGCTCCTGATGTGTTTGTGGTTGTGGATTTTACTAAGTTTCCACAGTAAAGCGGTCGCAGTGTACAACAGTGAGATGTTGGAAAATGGGAGATAAATCGTTTACTACACATGTATATAAGAACATCGGAGAGGAAGTCTGATAAATGTGCTTAATGCATATCGCATAGATCCGTTAGTTATTTTTCTCAAGTAGGTATGCGTGCAGGGGAAAAGTGCTTGCAGAGGACTTTTCTCACTCAGCTAATAACACTCGCTCGTTTTTGAAGGCTGGGAAACGGTTGGGGTGCCGGACGATGATGGTCTGCCCTGTTTTCCGAGGAGAACCGTGCTCTGGACACTTTTCCGTTCATATTAATTACTCCTAATTAATTAGTTTTTCTTACTGCTCCGTTTTCAGATTTTCGTCTTCTTCGTTCGTAACACTTATATATTGGTTGATATTCATCTGTTTATATTGCACAAACAGCGAATAAATTAGTCGTATCAAAATCCACTGGACATCAGAAAAAAACATTCAACATGGTTTCACAAAGTTGAAGTGCTTAGCTTCTCAACATCCTGGGCTTTAAATAGGTTTGTGTGTGGAATACATCTTTAAAGCATCGATTAATTGATTATAAGTTGCCTCTTTATAATTCTTTATTTTTTTCCATTAGCTGCTCTAGGGTTAGTTCATTTTTTTTCTCATCTTCCATCGTCTTTCACTCAACTTATAGCTCTTAAACAGTAAAGAATGAATCTGAATAACCTAGACAATATTTTCTCTCTGCATATAATCATAATTATTATCATTTATCATTATCATTATTATCATTATCATTAAGTAGTGTATTCCTTTTCAGTTGTGTAAAACATACCTCATTTTTCAGTTTCAACTAAAGCATTGACCGTCTGACTAGAAGTTCACCGCAACAAACCAAAGTTTACTTAATCTAAACAAACGTAAAAGTCGAGGTTTGTATTTTCTTCATTTTCACCGAATTTTCTCAGAAAATAGCGCATGAACCAGATTTCACCATCAAATACAGTATTTTCATTGTTTGTTTGCCATATGTGTGTCCTGTTGCCGTAGGTCCTCGAAGTTATATTTTGCAGAAGAAAATCCAATCATTGTTCCGTTAATCAGCAGCCAAAGGACGAATGCGTTGTCGGTCCGATAACCAATAGTAATAGCAGCAATAGCACTAGACCCGATGATGGCGATGATGGATGTTTTTCACGCTTAAGTGACATCATGGGGAAAAACCATCCTCCATACGAGTGGATCGAGCCGCGGCGTTCGAGGGAACAGTAAACCATTCATCCCCACTTCTGGAACAGTCCCATCCGCTGACACCGACAGTTCGAGCCCCAGAGATTGCACCGGCAGGAACTGTTGTGGCAGCAGTCGTTGGAACGGTGATCGCACGTGCCAGCCCGTCGAATGCATGACCTCCGGTAGACCTGGATCAATGAGGAGCGCCTGGAAGGAGATGGAGGAAATAGTACGGGTTCATTACATGTTTGGCAACATATGATTGGTAAAAGTTTATTTTCAAAACACAACTGATGAGCATCTTCATGACCCAGGAAGTCTCGGAGTATGTCATGTACATTTTGGTTCCCTGAGACCGACACATGTAGCATGTTAGGTTCATATAGTTGTGTATTGAGTCTCCATGCTTAACTATAGGAGCTTTTCCCCTATGTTAGTTGAGTGTTGTAAGCGGTGGGAGAAATCTTCCAATTTTGTAAATAAGAAGAGAAAATATCTAAACTTTTCTGCAGTCTGCTGCAAAAAACACGAAGACTTCTTCCTTCAGTGGAAATACCTGTGTCATCGCCAAACAAAGATTTGTGGCAACCCTGAGGCAAATCAGGGAGGTCCAAAGTGAAAACGTTATACAATATAGTCCCAAGAATGCTACGCTGAGGAACTTCTGCTCCAACAGATAGTCGTTCAGATTTGGAATTTTGATAATTTACCTGCAGAGTTGTTAAATAATTTTGAATCAATGTCATAATATAGAGTGGAAAATTAAACTTTTTTCAATTTAGCAAGCAAACCTTCATGCCAAACACTGTCGAATGCCTTTTCTATGTCTAGAAGAGCAACTCCAGTTGAGCAGCCTTCAGATTTGTTGGAGCGAATTAAATTGGTAACTCTCAAAAGTTGATGAGTAGTTGAATACCCATGGTGAAATCCAAACTGCTCATCTGCAAAAATTCAGTTCGTGTTGATGTGAAGCATCATTCTATTCGAATCTATCTTTTCAAACAGTTTACTTATTGATGAAAGCAAACTTATTCGACGGTAGCTAGAAAATTCAGCTGAATTTTTATATGGCTTCATTTTTTCATTTGCCAGGAACGTATGTCAAATGGAAACATTTGTTAAATAATTTTACCAAGAAAGACAAGGTACTGACAGAAATTTTTTTGATATGGATATAGAAAATTCCATAATCACCTGGAACTTTCATATCTTAATACTTTTTAGTTATGAATCTTACTTCATCCAAATCAGTTTCCCAGGAAGCATCAAACATATTTACTAGAGAGAAAACATTGAGATAATTTCGAGCAACCTGATTCTCAATAGGACTAGTATGACCCAAACTGAAATTATGGGAACTCTCGAAGTGCTTAGCAAGTTTCTGAGCTTTTTCCAAATTTTCAATTCTTTAAGATAGCAGGCTGTGCTTGTAAACGAACATCACGTTTATTTTTACTGTTCTAAGCTCGCGTGTTTTTTTTTTTTTTGGATGTCAAGACTTTGGCTCTACAACTAGAAGTCAAGCAAATAGAGACCTGAAGTTTGTGAAGAGTAAATCTGAACCATGAAGTCTGAGCAGTGATACTCAAATTGGGTGGATCTGTTGTGATTTTTTGTCCAGGCTGGTTCCACATTTCTTATGTGGTTCGTCTTCATAAGGGCTGTACAGTAATGGCTGCTTCTGAGCCCCGAGCAGCGTGTATTTTTACTAGTGGCTTTGAAACCAAGGTGGAGCCTCAAACAAACTCGTGACATCCCAATATTATGATGGAGGTGTGGCAGATCGCTGAATCTATCAAAGGAGAACATTACTCGGGGAATTTCAAACAGATGAACCGGAATGGTATATGTTGGCTCCTGTCAAGAAGTGGATCATCTGCAATTGGGATTGCTACGATGAAAAGTGGGATAGCGTCTTGTTGCATTGGCGAGATTGTTCTTTTTTTTTATCGCTTTTTGTCAATTTGTCCTTTGTTTCCGTGAATCTATGTTTGAGGTTGATCATGTGCCCACGGAGAAGGAGTAGACTGTGTGTGTGATCGAACGTGACGTTTTTTTTTTTCGTGGAGTTTTTTTTATCTATAATCGGTTGCTGATCTGGCCAAAACCAGGCCCAGAAGACAATTTCTAGTTTGTCAGCGAGTTCATTAAGACAGAAGAAGTCCTGCGAGAGCTGCTTCTCATTGTATCTAGTGCTACCTCCCTGCTATTTCCCGCTGCGAAGCTGTTCCGAAGACAAGTAGAACCTCCATGAGGCGTCCAATCATTAGTTCCATCATTCGCCTCAGCGTTGAGTCGCAGCGCTGAACCTGACAATTGGCCTCAAAAAGGCTTGCCAATGCACACACACTTAGAAAATTCATGTAAATTTAGGTGCTCTACGAGCGACATATACAAGCGTCAATTTTGACACTCTCGTTTATACTTCACATCATGACTGATCAAACCATGTTAAACGTGGCTGCTAAAACATGCAATCTCAAGAGAAAATTTAATTGAAATATTGGTAATATACCCACTGTAAAACTCAAACAAAGCTATACATACTACTGCTGTCTTCAGCAAAGTTGTGTAATTTGATGATATTTAAATCTATGTAGAACATGTCAAACCGTTTAGTTGAGATTATAAGACCAAAAAAGCCAAAACAGTGATTTTAAGGTACTCCTGTCAAGAGTTCACTTAAATATTGTGAATATAATGAAGTTTGGTGTCTTCAGCAAAGTTTCATAAAATTTGTTGCTGAAAACATAAAGCTATTATCTCGAACCAGTAAAAAAATAGTTTTTGTAAGTGTAATACCAGCTTAATAAAAATTTGGATAATTATTTCAAAAGACGTGGACCATTATTACGAGAAACTTCTTCCAAGACACCAAGTCTCTTGAACGACGATAAAGGGTAGAAAAAGGTATTGACTGTCTTTTTTCAGAATGGTCCCACTGTGCGACGGCCAATTTAAAATAAAATCTTAAATTTAACGAAGTTTAAATGTTCCATGCGAAGAGTATGGAAATTGGAAGTGGCTATCACAATAGGGGGGACGTTTTCTTTCTTGGCATTAAGCCGGAAATTTTTAATGGAACTTTTGAATTGATTGCTCAAATAAATTTCATCAGAAAGGGGATCAAGAGGTCGCCCTTTTCTTTTGAGTTTAGGCACCATGGCGGCAGAAGAAAGTTTCTCCAAATTGGCTTCCTAGCAGATTACTATAAGATTCCAAACGATCGAAGAGGAATTCTCCAATTAGATATTCAAGCAGGATTAACACAGGTAGGGTCCAAACAAGGATGGAAGAGGAATGAGAATAAAAAAAAGGTAGAAAATTGGAAGGTAATATTTAGCACTGAAGAGTGCTGTTTGAATTTTTTGTAGCTTTAGGTAGGAGTAACACTTCCTTCAGCCAAAAGCAAATAGATCCGCACGGCAAGAGAGTATGATGAGATTAAAAACTTGATTAAACACAACACACATTGCTCTAATAAGTTTGTTCTGTGCATAATCAGTTTGCTGAAACTTAATCCGGGCGGGCGGGGCTGTCTGGATGTAGCACTAAAGTTGATTCTAGAAAGTATGTAGGGGATGTCAATTTCTCCCAACAGCAGCTTTCCAACAAAGATAGCTTTCTGATGGCTTCTTCTTCTCTCCAGAGTTGCCATTCCTAGTAACCGGCAACGACTTTCGTACAGTGGGAGTTCAAACTGTCTCTATCATTTTTATCGAAACATCATGATGGAAACTCCACACGACCGATGCTGATTTTAACCCGGAACTTACCAGGGAAAAGTACAGAGTTCGTAAACAATACGGATCACTGAACTCTTTCGAGATGCGGATGATGAAGCCCAGATCCCGATTAACCTTAGCGATGATGTTGGAGTAATGATCACGGAACGTCATTTTGTAATATAGCTCCAGCCAAAGTTCTGTGATGCTTGTGACTCTTTCCAACGTTTCAACATAGATCGTCCAAGACCAGCAGATAGGAGATTGCGGGTGAATGATATTATTCTTTACACTAATCACAAGATGATTCCTGTCGCACCAGTCCTCAATAAGATCAAGATACCACTGCAGCTGCTGGCATTGCTCTATTGATCGAACTATCAAGTAGATTTTCTGGTCATCTGCATGCAAAATTTTACATGCATCGAGTAGAATAGAGCAAACATCGTTGAAAAACAGGCAAAATAACAGTGGTCCTGGATCGCTTCCTTGTGGCACACCCCATCTATTCGCAAGCATTTGCGACTCTTAGCTACCAAGTTTTATACGAAGGCGGCGGTAGACAAGGTTATATCAACCGGTGGCAACTAACGATTTTAAATTGGCTCACTACTTGGCTAGCCTATTGGTCCCAAGCAAATCGATTAACGTTCCCCATTCTTGTCAAAATTCTAGTACTACACATTGTTTGTTTTGATTCGCTATGTAAGTTCGACAGATAAAATGAGGGGTTCGTGAATTTTCTTATGTTTCGAGGGGTGCATCGATTAGCTTGGGACCGAAGAGAGTACCAGATCTGAGCCAAAAAGTTGAGCAAGTTTCTTCGGGACCTTCTAGTCTTAGAGTTACTTCTATGGTTATATCTTAGAGGTAACTCTAAGACCTAAAAGTTCCGTAGAAACGTGCTCAACTTTTTGGCTCAGCTCTGATACTATCTTCGGTCTCAAGCTAATCGATGTACCCCTCGAAACATAGGAAAATTCACGAACCCCTCATTTTATCTGTCAAACTTTCATAGCGGCAGGATTTATATAATCAGTTTGGTATCCATCTTGTAAACCGTATGCGTGATAATGTTCGCACCATTGAGCAATGTCAAAATGCTCAAAAATTTCGTTTTCGATTTTTTTTTTATTTATTCAAAGGGGGGGTGTTTCTCAGAGTCTTAAACTATGTTAATGGTAAAAAGGTAAATGAATCATTAAACAATGACGATGTTCCTTAATAAGTAAAAAAAACCTCGTTAAAATAGATCGGGTTGCTCCTTAAATGATTGATCAATCATTGTGTACATTTGTGCATTTTTACTGAACATTTCAGCTGATTTCATGGTACTTATTAACCTTTCTACAGCAGCTTTTCCGTGATATATGGTACAATTACACTTCAAAATGGTGCAAAGCGGTGCATACTAAGGAGCATTTTCAAATGCTTAATGTACAGTTTTCTCTATTTTAGGAGCGTACTTTAAATATTTACTGA